GTTCTTTGTGTGGATGCCACTTCCAGAAGTCCAATCTGGGCCCGGGCAACAAAAAATTAGCGACCGGTTCTGCTGAACTGGGGCGAACTGGCTGAATCCCACCACTGCCTGTATTTTGGTTAATGTTAACTACCTTGAACTAACTATACATCACTTTAATAATAATATAGAGCTGCTTGGAATTGGGCTGACATACACATTTAATAACTTATTATTATTATCATTCAAATAATGAATACCAAGTATCTTGGTTTTTGCTGTTGGTTATGCAGACTGCAAGAAACCTGTTATAAATGCGTGGTTATAAAACAGATATTTTAGGAATTAATCCTAATTGTAAGAAAGTTAAGTATTGTAGTACTGGAAAGTCTATGGCAGTGATGGCAAACCTTTTAGAGACCGAGTGCCCAAACTGCAACCCAACACCCATTTATGCATTGTCGGGTGCCGGGTGGGTGTGGCCCATTGGATGGGTGTGGCCCATTGGATGGGTGCGGCTGCAGTGATAACGACAGACTGGGTGGGACTAAAAAGTTCAATCAATCAATTCCAACTTTGTAACATTTGAATTGAAATTGACTGATTGGTTGAAACTTTTTGTTTTTTGCACATGGCGGCGGAGGCCTAAAGCGAAAAGGTTTTATAAAACCCAGCTGAAGGCCTAGGACTGGGGCGACGGCGCGCGTGCCCACAGAGGTTCGCCACCACTGGTCTATGGAGAATCTCAGTCATGGTTGTCCCAAAGGTGCTTTTTCACAAGGCAACTGGACTTCCTTTTTTCTCTTTGAAGACGTTTCGCTTCTCATCCAAGAAGCTTCTTCAGATCTTCAGAGAAAAACAAGAAAGTCCAGTTGCCTCATGAAAAAGCACCTTTGGTACATAACACTGCAAGGGACCTTTAAAATGACATTTCATATAATATATAATTACAAGTTTCCTTGTTATCTAGTGCAGGGGTCCCCAACTCCCGGTCCGTGGACTGATACCGAGTCGCACAAACAAGCAAAACCCCATCTGCGGGATGTAGGTAGCGCACAAAACCATGCTTCCCTCTGGTCCATGGAAAAACCTCTCACCGTGTAACCAGTCTCTGATGCCCAAAGGATTGGGGATGTCTAATCTCGTGGATAGGAATACTATAGGGTTGGATTGGAATACTGATGCCTCAATATTGCAGCAAGATGACTAAAACCATTGCTCCTATCCAAAGATGAAAGGGACTCCATTTCAGGTAGTGAAATATCCTGTGTCAATGCTGTTCATCATTCCATTAATCTTTATCTAAAAATGGCACGTTCCCTATAAATTGGACATATTAGGGAGACAGCACATTGGGGATGTTTGCTCTGGTCTACTGCAAAAGATAGTGCTTCCCAGTGGATTCCCAACAGGACCACATTCTTTGCTCTTTATTTTTTCTGTATTTATTATCACAGACAGCTGCACAGTGAACAGAACTGCAATTGGTAGTGTAAGAACATTGCCAGATAGAGAAAGCAACTTAGTGTAGTTGGCAGATTTATAAGGGATAGTAGATAAAATAACCAAAAAAAAAGGGGCGGGGGGAGAAATAATGAGATGCCTCAATTATTTTGAAGGATGAAGCATTCCAATTTTAAGACACTGCTGTGGTAAATTAATCTTCTCGTTTTTTTTTTTGATCAGGCAAATTTTAAGCTGACAGAGATGCAAGAAAAATCTTAGACCAATTGTTAATCTAATCACAGTTCTACTTTGCAACAGAAGTGACTCATAGCAATTCCCCTCCAGGATAGAAGTAATGAGATTTATTCCCAATACCTTTCTTTCTTCAGACACTCTATTATACATACAAGGAGTTCCATGGGCCTATCTCTCCCTTGCCTTGCATGCTGTGCTTCCTAACGTAATAGCAAAACATTCTTCAAACATGATTTTGACAGTTATCCTTAGCTATCTGATTCCCTCCTTGGAAAGCGAAAACAATACTTTACCCACAAAAAATGACAAGATGAAAACAAGTGCTAAATGTGCCAAGGAGATGAGACTGGAAGTTTATAGATTTTTCATTTTGAGGTTCTTGTGAACATCTGGAGAAAATAGAGTACAATTCAACCTGTCTTGGTGAGAGTTTTAGTCATTTGTAAGTTGCTAATAAAAAAACTCACAGTCAAATCCCAAAGATGCTTTTTCACAAGGCAACTGGACTTTCTTGTTTTTCTTTGAAGATGTTTTGCTTCTCATCCAAGAAGCATCTTTGGGAGAACTATGACCTGTATGTCTGAGAATCTCCATAGACACTCACAATCAAATATGAGGCAACTTTGAAATGTTCTATTCAAAGAAAACCTTTGAAGAGATTTGAAGAAAAACAGAAGACTTCAAAGTCTTCTGTTTTTCTTCCAATTTTTTCCTAAGGCTTTGTTTGAGTATTTTTCATGTTCAGGAAGGCATTCTTTGAAATGTTGATATATCCAGCTTGTTCTATTCTATTTCTGAACCACTAATTCACATAGCATGCCAAACAACAATTGGTTTGAAAGTGCTGGGAAATAACATGGACACATTGGTCCAGCCTGTCAATTACAGGCCAGGCAAATTGCAAATATCTTGACTTGACTTTTTCTGTCATATGTGGGCTTCTCCATGTAAGCAGAAAGCAGTTTTGCCCCAACCTGTCTTCCTCCAAAATGGCTACTGTATTTTGGGAAACTGTAGGTGGAACTCCAGGTAAAAAGGAGAAAGAAAATATACTTGGAAAGAGGGTAGTAAATGTTGTCACAATCTCTTCCAACTTCTGATTAAAGTGGCATTTTCAGGAAGAAAAAGAGAATTTCCAAATAATTCAATCAGAAAAGGAATTGGATTTAAAGATAACTTATTTTACTAAAGTAGCCTTTCAAACATGGTAGCTTTAAGATGGGTGGACTTGCTGGCTGAGAAATTCTGAGAGTCGAAGTCCACCCATCTTAAGTTGTCAAATTTGAAAAACACTGCTCTGGACAATTTTTTTAAAAAGGGTTAAGATTAACTATTGTGTTCTTTTTGTGATAGTTAAATAGTATTATTTCTTAATTGTTTTGCTTTTTTTATTGAAAGTTTTTTAAATTTTACAAAACAAATCCCTCCCCTTTTAAAATTCAAGAAAATTAAGCATTCAGCTAGCAGTCTTCATTACTTAAATCAAGCTAGATTCCAAAAATTAGTTGATGAGTTGATTAAGATTAGTTGATGAGTAAAGAAGTGTGATTATTCTGGCAATTAGAGGTAAGATACTATATGATATACTTTGAAGCAAAGTGCCCATTTGAAGCTTCTCTTGGCTTGATCCATATGTTTGGGGAATCTAGATGCTTTCAAACTTAGGGATAATCTTTGTGGGGAGAAATTATAAGGATTTCTTTGAAGAAATAGATAGAGTTGCTTAGCTACACACCTAGTTTGGTACTGCATTCATATATCTCGGTGAACCACAATTTGCTTAAATGTAGGTGGCTGAGTAAGTCCCAGTTGCTAGATTCACACAAAATACTAGTCAAAATTGCTTCTCCTGTTTCAGTTTAGCAAGTGTGTCTAGTAGCCTAGACCCAGGCCAGGCAGATTAAGCTCTTTCAATATCTGTTCATGTCAATCATGGCTCTGTGGGGTTTAAAATTAGGTTAGCTCATTTCTGTCCTCTTTTGTGCTGAAAAATTAATTTAACAACCCAGTTTCTTAATCTGATGAATTGTTCTTATACAAAATACATATAATTTGAGAATGTGAATGGAATATAACACTCTAATCAATAAATATCTATTTGTTTAACCTGTTGAAATACAGAGATTGATCAGCTTCAGACTCTTTTTCTTTCTGCTCCTGCTCTACCTAGTTACTGTGGATACTAAAATGAACATTTTATTCCATGGCTTAATTGAGCCCTTTTCAAGAAAATATGTCAGTCAAGAGACATACTGACTGGGGCTATATTCCAACATCTCTCGATGCCAAGTTGGATAAAATTGTTTTAGAGACTTCAGTTTCCCCACTAAGAGGATTGACATTTTTTTCTGATCTGACTGTACACAACCCAGCACAACATGATCTTTCTTTCAAGGCACAGATGTGAATTAATGAGTTCAGTCCCAGAGGACAGTGTCTGTAAAAGTGTTTTTTCTACCTGGCCTTGCAAGAAGCTGTGATTACATGAGCAAAGGAGACAAATGTTACATTGCTAAAAAAGATTGGCCACCCCAATAGCTCATTATAGACTTATTAATTAGTTATGGCTCTACGAATGTTCCTTCAGTTTTGTTTTGAGTAAACTAGAAACTGAGCCTGGGACATTTTTCATGAAAAGCATGTATTCTTCCACTAAAGTACAGAAAAGAGGGATATTGGATATCTTCCTAAAAATGTTATTCAGAAAACATAATATTTCATTTTATTCCATAAATAATAACTTCCACATTCCTCCTGCATGCCATTTCAGATGAAACCTGAAAACCGAGTAGGCCTTTTCAATATTGTTGGACTATCTTCTGTTCTTTTCTGATAATTAGATATACTGATGGGGGCTAGGATTGTATGCAGAGGTCATGTAGATAAATGGCCCATTCTCCATCTGTGCTGAGCGCCCCACTCAAAATAGAGTTTAGTATTTGAAGTGATCAAAAATGTGAATTCATTTTATTCAAGGCAGAAAAATGTATCACTTGACATATTAATATCAATATTATTTAGTATTTTGAGTTTCCATGCACCACTGGCTACAATTTAGAGGAAACAGTAGAGAAAAAAAATACACTGGTATAACATCTAGTGTGGGGGCTGGGTGTATGTATCAATTTAACTTTCTATGCCCAAGCCCCAGAAATATTTCAAATAAGCTTGAAAGAGCTGATGGAGCTGGGATTGATGACACTGTCCTCCATCTAAGCAAATATAGCAATTCTTTACTCACAGAGCAAATTCTTATATATTTAAGCAATACGAGCCCCCATTACATTATACAGTTGGAAAAATAACATAAGGAACCCTACTTTCTTTGTAGTATCCATTGCCTTCAGTATGGCTACATTGAGATCTTCCAAAGCAGATAAGACGCTTTCATAAGCTCCCAGATGCTGGGAAAAATATTCTAAAATAGATAGAAATACAGAATCAAAAAGTGGAAAGATCGAAAAATCAAAATGGGGAGAGGGAGGGAGAGAGAGAAGCATAAGCTGGGTCACCCAAATCCTTTAGGATAGTAGTTTATTAAGACCTTAATATTTGGTAAAATTGGTAAATCCCTCTGAATGTACTTTGTTCTGGTTTTATTTTAGCAGCAGCAAAAGAAAGAAGGAAGAAGAGGAGGAATAAACAAAGAAAGAAAATGCCAAAGTGTAGTTTAGGAAAGAGAAAGAGGGCAGATGGACGGTTTATATGCTTGCTTCAAAAATTATAATAAAAGTTAGTTAGGAAAATCAGGGGGAGATATCTTTCCAAAAAGATTTTTATATTAAAACACAATGAGCAAGATATTTAATATAATAATGCAGTATTGCCTATGTAAAGAGATACAGGCACATTCCTGTCCCCAACCAACACAATTCTAAAGTCATCACATGCACACCCAGGAAAACCTATCCACTAATGCAGGGGTGTCAAACTGCCGGCCCACGGGCCGGATGCGTCATCCAGAAGTCGCGCCCACCCCATTGCTGGCAATGGCAAAACCATCCCGATACATTGCACAACGTCATGTGATGTCGCAAGTTTGACATATCTGCACTAATGCATTAAAGAGCTAAGGAATCATAATATACCCTACTCCTTACTAAATATTGAACCATTTGTGAAGTATTCTATTTATTCTCCTGCAAGCTTTACTTTCATCATAATTCATCTTTATTGCACTCATCTTCATGCATACTTCCATTATTCCAGCCACTTTATCATATGTTTTCTCTTAGTGAAGAACTGTACAATAAACTTTCCCACATTCATATGTTGTGCAATGACCTGAAGAACAAAAATTTAATCTGAAGACCCCCGAAGATTAAACCACTTTGCACACATCAACTCCTGTAGTCTTACCATTTTTCAACAATATCATTGCATTTATGACTTGCTTTTAATTAAATTACTTCTTAGGCACTAACAATGAAACAAACTCAACTGTCCTTATTCAGACTCACTAGTTTCTCCTCCTGGAAGCGAGGAATTTGATTCTTTAATTTTAATTAAAAAACAATTACTTACCAAATAGTTCTTCAGTTTCCAAGTTGCTGCAAGGAAAAGACATAATATAGAAAATGCATTGCTATTTCATTAATTCTATCATCAACTTATTTTAATTAAGTTTGTATATCAACTAATTATCAATTTCTATTATGTTGATTTGCATGGATTAAAGTTTACATACAATTTATTTATTTATTTCAAACTAAATATGCAGCTCAATTGCAGCTCAAATTTTCCAGCTTTTCAACCTTGAATAGCAAGTTTGAAATAAGCTTTATGATTAAATACAAAATGGAATAGTTGAAAACGGCAAAGGAGGTTAATGACAAGAAACTTTCTCAAATAAAGGATATTTTATAAATTCAATTTGCTGCCTTGCAGCATAAAGAGTACTTCAAAGACTCTATTTTTTCTTTACCAAAATGACAAATTTAAAAGAGAATACCTGTCGTTTTCTACAGGACCTACAGAATAAAGAACTGGAACAAGCCTTATCTGTTGTAGAAAATTTAGAATATAAAGAAAATGTTGAAATACTGGAAAATGAAAAATGTGGATTATAAAATGGATATGACAATTAAAATTAAAATCAAAATACAAATGACAATCCAAGATGTCCTGGACAGTGACTCTTTACAGGATTTACAAAAGAGGTTTGTTAAAACTCAAAAGAAGCTTCTGCATTGGGATAAGGAAATTTGAAAAGACATCAAATCCTATGTCAATATCTGAATGAAATGATTAAGATTTCTAGTAGCAAAAGGAAGAATTGTGAAGTTGGTTTGTTTGACCAAGGTTAAAATAAACATGTTTCTAGGGCAGAGTCAGGCTTTTGGACAGTTGCCTAAAACAGAAGTGCTTCTTTCTACAGTATCTCAGAATACTTTTAGCAAGATTTATTGGCAGGAAAGGGAAGACATTATACAACTTGCAGCAGTGAGCTATTTTCCATTTAGAATCATTATATTTTCTGTATATAGGGTGGAGACTTTTCTATTTTCTTTGTAGTTGCCTCCCCATGCTCTGGTGAGATGGAGGACGGTTTTCACCCATAAGAGAGAAACTGGCAGCTGACTATTTGAATTATAGTTTCATGACTCTTTATCAGTGTGGAAACAAACTTTTACACCCAAAAAAGTTTTGATGTTGTCTCTCCATCTTCTTCTTGGTTTGCTTTGTGTTAACAGATAACAGAATAACAGAGTTGGAAGGGATTTTGGAGGTCTTCTAATCCAATCCCCTGCTTAAGCAGGAAACTCTATACCATTTCGGACAAATGGTTAGCCAATCTCTTCTTTAAAATCTCCAGTGTTGGAGCACCCACAATTTCTGGAAGCAAATCGTTCCACTGATTGTTCTGTCAGGAAATTTCTCCATAGTTCTATGACATTTTTTTCCCTTGATTAGTTTCCATCCATTGCTTCTTGTCCTGCCTTCAGGTGCTTTGGAGATTGACCACTCTTTCTTGTGGCAGCCCCTCAAATATTAGAACATTGCTATCATGTCACCTCAGTCCTTTTCATTAAATTAGACATACATACCAAATTCCTTCAACCGTTTTTCATATGTTTTAGCCTCCAGTTCCCTAATCATCTTTGTTGCTCTTCTCTGCACACTTTCTAGAGACTCAAGATCTTTTTTTATATCATGGCGACCAAAACTGGATGCAATATTCCAAGTGTGGTCTTATCAAGGCATTATAAAGTTGTATTAACATTTCCAATTTTGACTGAAGGTTGAAGCTGAACTCCTTCTGGTAAAAGAAAAACATTAGTTTAGCTTGCTCAACCTGTGCCTTTGCAAGCTCAGGATTCCTGGAATCAATCACAGGAAAGTGGATCCATTCCTAAAGGCTGGCAAGCAAGCACTTCTACCTCAAAGCAGTCTTGAGCCTGGTTTGATATGAAAGAGACACAGGGCCTACTCACCGGTGGTGGGATTCAGCCAGTTTGCACCATTTCGGCAGAACCGGTAGCTTATTTTTTGTTGCCCAGGCCCAGAATGGACTACCGGAAGCGTCATCCACACAGAGAACCAGTTGTTCACATATTTGAATCCCATCACTGCTGCTCACAATCTGGGGCAAGGAGGCTTGAAAGCACAGCCGCTATTAATATAGTAATTGGTACAGATGGGGAAGGTAATGGCAGATGCCAGGCGAGCTCCATGTCTCTAATGGAAATTTCAGATTGTCAAAGAGATAGATGTTGAGATCACTTCTAGCAAAAAAGGGGATCCAGCAGGAGTTTTCTGATTTGCATTTTTGAAAATGTTAAATGTTAAACCTGCAATTATCATGTTAGACTTGTGATTGACAAAGCTCTCCCCTGGATTTTGACCGTAAATGGGTTGACATGGCTTTTTGTTTCTATCTGCCAAGACTCGTGAGCTTATAGCAGCTGCACCAAATGCAAACACCAAAGCAGAAATAATCTCATCAACAAGATTTTCACAGTAACTACCTGCAAAGTCCAAACACAAAGCCTGCTTAACTTTAAGGCTTTCAGATCTGGCCCACAAAAATCTGTACCCCCAATAATGGGAACAAAGAGTTAATGTTCACTACAGAACATCATAATGCTGCTATGTAATCATCATTTCAATTTCTAAAGCCTAAATCTGGGAACCCTTCAGTACTTAGCCTAATAAAGGTACCGCTACATGGTGGGATATTTTAATCACAGAATATGGTTCAAACTCTGAGTTGGTAACTTGGAAGACATGCTTATTTGGCTGGCATATTAGAATTGTAAGCTAAATCCAGATCCAGATAACATCATGTCATCTGTTAATATAACTGCAGGACAACAAATGGCTATGATTGTTTCCCATTGGATAGCATAAAATGAGAGTTTGTAGGCATTAGGATTCCTGTATGGAATGCAATGCAAATAAGCACATCTCTAAATTATATTTAAATACACATGCACAAGGAAAGCATGTGTATGTATGCATAACATTCTTCTTTGAATCCAATAGAATTTGTAGGGCCATTTCCTTCACCTTTTGAATTAATGGGGTCAGGGAAGTTTATATAGGAGCAGCTTTACAATTTTGGAAGGATCCCAAAGGTGCTTTTTAAAAGGCAACTGGACTTTCTTTCTTTTTCCCCCCTGAAAATGTTTCACTTCTTATCCAAGAAGTTTATTTAGTTCTTCTTGGATAAGAAGTGAAATGTTTTCAAGGAAAAAACCAAGAAAATCCAATTGTCTTTTGAAAAGCACCTTGGGACAGCCATAACCTGGATGATTGAGAATCTCCATAGACAGTTTTGGAAGGGATTTATTTTCGCTTTGCACAATAGCATTTTTAAAACATTTTTTACTATTGGTCCAATTATGGTGACACATGTCTATGCAAGTAAACTACAGTTCAAAATGGCAGAATGGCATTATAACAAATGGAAATAAAAAGGGAAAAGGCACCTTTTCAACATTTATATGACAATACAAAACAATCCACTATAATTCAGAGTATGGATAACTTCTCCACTCCACCCATCCCACTACTGTAGCCTGCATCCTTAGAAACATTCAAGGTTTGTAGATCATGGATGAGGCTATTCATACATGCATTCATTTTGTACATTAATTATAAAGCACTAAGTTTACCTGACAAATCCATACAAGAAAATGGCCTTGCCTTGAGATTTTGAATTGATTATTTTAAAATCAATGCTACCTACTCTGTATTGTGTATGTCAATCTTCTGAAACAGCTGGTGAAGCTCCTCTATGCTCAGAATTCCATCCGCAAAGTAAGTCTTAAATTCATCAAAGGACAATTTGCCATCATCTGAAATCAGAGAAAGATTTGCTCACTTAGAGACATTTTACTCCAACTAATGTGAAGATCATGACTTTTTAAAAGGAAGCACCACAGGCTGTAATTTTTTTAGTTTATAAATTTCTGCATAAAATGAAAATATCTCTCTCTCATACATAGATATAATACACTGTTATATTAGAAAAATGTGTTTCTTATGACTACAGATGGTCATTTTTGTGGTTCAGTGAAATTTGATTGTTCATGTTCTTACAGACTTTTCACGATTACTGTAAAGATGAAAGTTTTTTATAGAGCACACGAGCCCCATTGTCCTTGGGACCACCATCCCTGATTATTGCAAAGCTCACTGTAGATCACATGGGAAAGAGCCTTCCCCTTATGCACAGTATTTTTCACCATTTGTCTTAGTGGTCAAATCAGCTCAAGAGTGCAAACAGCTATCTTACCTATTACAAAATATAAATATGACTGTCATTTATTATCCAGGGCTAAGATTATTCCTGAAAAATATTTTACTTGACTATCCCTTGACAGATAAAATGAGAAGTTCATTTTTTCTCTTGTTTCCCCATGCCTTGTTATATATGTTAAAACCTTATCATGGCATTCTCACAGAAAAAAAGATATGCAAAAATAACATTCAATTTTCTCAGAGGGACATTAGCAGCTAAACAAGTAAAACTGCTTTGAGCAGAGAATAATTTTAAGCAGGGCTTTTTTTCTCATAGAATGCCCAGAACAGAGTTCCGGCACCTTTTTTGGATGGAACCTTGTAGGGTAGGCAAGGCGGGTTGTATGATGCATGTTCCAGCACCTTTTTTTTTTTTTTTTTTTTTACAAAAAAGCATTGAATTTAAGGAATTTTAGTGACAATGGAAGCTTTATCAGAACACAAGGCCTTCCAATTCTCAGAATCAAATTCTGGTAGCCATTTTGGCTAGAGCTATTAGTAATTTATAACAGAAGGCAGGACCTAAGATACTGTATCTTGAACAAGTTCAACAGCAGCCTAAATTGGGAAGTAATAAGAAAAACAAAGAAGGATGAGAAAACTCTTTGGTCATGTTGCTAAGAAATCTACTTAGACTATCGAGGAGGTCATCAGCAATTGACCTCAGCTCAGACTTTTTCCCTTTTATTGACAGTTCAGCAACATTTGAAGAGCTTTATGTTCCTCACTCTATTTTTCCACAGTACCGTATTTTATAACTAAATAGGTTACTCTTTTATCCCTTTGCAAAATAGTTATATAGTGCAGCAATTAATTTTCAATATTTAATTCTTTAGTGCTCTACCCACTGTATTTTATTGCTCCGCCTTACTATCATTTTAATATCTTCCTAATTTAATTAACCCTGTAAATTCTGCTACATGACTGCATATTTTCTGCATAGTGACTATTACGAAGATATTCTGTTCTGTTCACTGCACCCTAGGCCTGAATAGCTCCTTATCAGTCCTCCCTCCTTTTCTTGATGCACTTTCATAAAGGTGAACTTTTAAAAATTGGGAGGGAAGATTACTAAAGAGGCAGATATGAATTTCCTTGGACTTAGTTTTTCATGTTTCCAGAAATAGGAGTATTAGCCTTCTCTCAAAAAAAGCTTGAGCTTTCTCTATAGATTACCTTTAAACAATGGAAAACTAAAGTAATAATACATGTCGGACAGAGGTCTCCTGCCATAGGTTATTAGGAGAGAGTTATTTTAAAATAATATATTGCTTAATGTTTTTGAATCATAAAATTTATCAACCAATAATCTTTGGTCCCTATAAACTATCAGCATAATTCCAAAGATTGGGCCAACCATAAGATATAATGTTCCATCTTTGTCCAAAAGGATTTTATTATAGAATAGGAATCTTGGGATAACATCTATTTCATTGCTTCTATCTAATAGTCACATAGATTTTTTTTAAAAAAAAACTATGCAAATATTAGGACATAGAATATAGAATGTAGAATAATATGTTGGAAGGAACCTTGAAAATCTTCTAATCCAAAGCCCTGCTCAGGCAGGAGACCCTACTACACCATTCAGGCAAATTATCCAGTCTCTTCTGGAAAAACTCCAGTGATAGAGAACCCACAGCTTGATTCCTGTGGAGTAGGGCTAGATCTGCTAGCCCTATTACACAGGAATAAATTCCATTGATATTTGTTGCATCACCAGAAGCTATCAGTGCTAAATATTTGTCTACTAAGAGATTTTGGAGCCATTTTTTTTTTTTGAATGAGTGCCACCGTGAAAGTAAAATCCAATTTCAGTGAAAACTTAAAAACAGGCTTTGCTGTATATGATTCATAAACAGAGATCTTTTCTGAAATGACATTTACTTCAGGTACACTGAAAGATAGCTCAATATTATATCCATTTCCTTTGCAACAGTGCTTTTACCAACTTTCATAGGCTTAGCTATCTGTTTTCTAAAGTATTTCATTAGCATCTCCTCAAGTAGCCATAGAAACCTGTTCTGAGCAAGTAACATGATATTTGTTTTATCTGATAATTATGCATCAATGATTCTCTCAGCTTTTTCATCAGGCTATCATCCAACAGCTGGATTCTAACTGTATAATTTTAAGTATAGCTAGAATAAGAAGATTTCTGGAAGGGAAGAAGATTTCTTTATACTGATGCTTATACAGGTAGTCCTCCTTTAGTGATTGACTCATTTAGCACTATTCACAGTTACGATGGTGATGAAAAAACAATTTTTTTATTTTTTAAAAATTATATTTTTATAAATGCAAATCCTTACATTTATGACCCTCACAAGTCTGTAAAATAAAGGAAACCTGAAGTAACAGCCAGGTTGTTGGTCCCAATTTGGTCATTAAACAAGGATTATCTGTAGAATTCTAAGTCATCTAGGTACATTGTATCAGAAAATACACAAGGCTTTTAATATCTAATAATTATGTTGCTATAAAACATAATTGTGAATTCAGCTAATGCAAAATTAATGCCCAACTGAAAGCAATGCAATATTCTGCTCCTTCATACTGGTTACGTATCTCCCAACTAGCATGACTGTTGTGGCTAATTCAAGTCCAGATGTTTTGAGGGAATACTGATCACAAAAGTTGGCTGCAGTCAAATAATGTCAATGCATATAAGTATTAAAATTTGTAATAGGGTGGGGCATAATTTCACAATCCAAACTCCTTTCATACATTTCCTGATGTTGCACATAAGTGCAGAAAGGGAAAGACTTGGATCATGATATTGTAGCCTCATCTTGGAGATGTTGACTGGATACATTCTACCAATAAGACTACAATTGTGAAGGTGTGAATGCTCCAACACTGTAAGTTTTTAAGAAGAGACTGGACAACCACTTGTCTGAAATGGAATAGGGTTTCCTGCCTGAGCAGGGGGTTGGACTAGATGACCTCCAAGGTCCCTTCCAACATCATCATCATCATCATCATCATCATCATCATCATCATCATCATATTATTATTATTATTATTATTATTATTATTATTACTGTTGTTATTATTATTATTATTATTATTATTATTATTACATATAGTAAATCCTTTACTCATTGACCTGGAGATATGTTCTAGTGAATCCAGGTGGCTATAACTCTCAATAGACTGTATAGAACTGTGCTATTAATTTTACTTTAAACATCTGCTATTTCAACCAGATAATCAATAGTAAAACCCATGATGTAAATGAAGAAGAAACATTTTCTTAAACAAATTTGTAATTTGTTTTGAAACCATCTTCAAATAATGTTGCAGCTGTTTTTGTGATAAAATGATAATTGGTAAAATATTATAGTAAAAAAGAATAATTGAAAAAAGCTCTAAGATTAAACTACCATTTTTAACCTAATAAAAGTAATTTTAGTACTTAGTAATAGAATCTAAATGCAGCTTAATACATTCTGAATGTAATTCCATGTAAGGGGGGAATTTGCAAACATCAGAGAAAGCGCCCAATGCTAATAATTTGAAATAAAGGATGAATATATTGTATATTTTTTCTCTTTGGATGAGAAAGTAGAATTGGCTTTTGCCATGGAGATGGGATCATCCCATCAGCTTCTTCGACAGAGCTGTGTGAAACTGGGCCGGTTCTATATTTAAAACAGCAGGTCAGATTTTGTTGTCCCTGATTGTTTTACGACAACTAAAAATCTGTTCAAGAACAGGAATCTCATATTCATTTTATTTAGGATTTCATCCATTCTGCCTCATTTGCTTTTTTGTTTTTTGTTTATTTGGTTCACAGCTGTTGTTCCTGGCATATTATGAATGATACTAACATCAGGTATTCTCAACCATCCCTCCTCAGCTTTTCATCAGTTCTTAATTATTGGATTTTTAGTGCCTTGTTTTTCAGAGCGCTGAAAGGTCTGCACAGCTGTTGCTCCACAGTTCCAGATTTGCATTTCCAGCTATGAAATCTTTTCTGCTTTAAAAAATGCTTTTCTTAAAAAGCAAAGGTTTTGCTCATAAGTTGCAGTGAAGTGGGAAGACACTAGAAATAGTCTGAAAAAGAGGTACGTAACACCTGACTGGCTCTTCAGAGCAGCTGTGTCTTTTCCTGGCATCACAGGGAATTTGTAATTCTTATATCTGGGGGGAGGGGAATTACAATCAGAGCTTTTCCCATTTTCATATTAAAGCTGTTTCCCTTCTGGCCATCACTGTGGTGACATAAAACCTCTCATTATTGTTTAAGTGGCATAACAATGATTAAATACCTCTAGAAGATGTGTAAATCCCCAGGGAGGGCCCTGCCTAAGTATAAAAGTTGTGTGTAAGACTACAAGAAACACTAGTGTGTCAGAGGGAAAGACTTCTCTGTCTGGCCCATGACTGGGCCATTTATGGTCCTTGACCTATTAATCTAGTTGCATACTACTGCCAGAATGATACATAGCAATAGTTTAGGTCAAGGATTTAAATGGTTAGTTTGTTTTGTTTTCATTTAGTATGTGGGTAAGCCTAACCACTGTAGAGTATAAACAATGTTTGTCATGATGTATGGACTCAGCATTGTTATTTATTCAGCAAATAATGGTTCAGTCATGGCTTCACATGATATGTAAACAAGCTTGTATATGTAAAAAGCTTTGGATAGATTTATAATTCCTGTTCAATCATATATCCCAACAAGTTAGATGATCTCCACAGAGATGGCACCATAGATGGCCAATGCAAGCTACAATGATGTTGCACATAGCATGATATGATTTTACACCTGAATTATGTAATTTGTATCATTTGCATGATGATGCCATAGCAAGCATAGCATCCCTTGCCCACAGTCTCCTGTGGATTCCCATAACCAATACCATCTAGATCAGTGTTTCTCAACTTTGTAACTTTAACATGTGTGGATTTCAGCTCTCAGAATTCCCCAGCTAGCATGGGAATCAAAGTCCACACATCTTAAAGTTGCCAGTGATGATAGATCAAGCTCCTCAGCCAGGTAATTTTGAAGTGACAAGTTCACCTGTTACTACCTCTCCCAGGAAAACAGAGCAATCACACTAAATGTTCCTCCAACTCCCTCACTTATTATGTTCTGAGAAAGAAAAATGATTGGACTTACCATTTTTATCTGCCCTTCTCAGAATCTAAGAGGGAATAAATCAATATATATTAGTATCAACAAAGAAATATTGTAATACTTACAAGGACACACTTTTCTAAACATAGCAATAAAGGATTTTTAAAAAAGGCTTATCAATTATGATCCCAGTACAGACAGCACAGTACTACAATATACAGTACAGATATACTTTGAAGAAAGGTGCATTTAGTGATAGTATTTTCTTTAGACCCATAGGTGGTGCACATTTGCAACTGATTAGATGCCAAGATTGCCCTTGTATTTGGTGCCAGGTAAAACAATTCACTTCTGTCAGGCTTTCTAATCAATTGTGGGATGATGTATCAGCCTGGCTGAATACAATTACAGGGAACACTGAATAGGTATTCTCATTTGATGTTCTACTTCTTTGTGGTATTCTGGGAACATTTTACAAAAAAAGACTGGTGTTAGAAATGTTGATCCACAGTGCATCCATACATCTCAGCAAGGATCTGAACTACCAGTCATGTGTAAATCCACAATGGAATAGACATTTGTAATTGCATCAATTAATTACATGGATGGATTTCTGGTAGGTAGAATCCCCATACTTTGTTGACCCATTTTCATGAAAAAGTGTCCAAATGTATAGCTATTCAGTATTTGAGGATTTATCTATATGAGGACTGGAATCACCTGTGACACTGAATATATTTGATGAATTTTAACCAGATATTCTCACTTCTAATACTCACCTGCCCCAAACCAAGACCAGAACCACTTTTCCTATTATTGCTTAGCACACAAAATAAAGTGACTACATAATGCCTACCAATCATGCACTGATCTAAGTTGTACCAAAGATTTATCATTATCATTTGAGACCATCCTAAGGAAGCATCAGGTAATCTAAAATTCACAACACCTTTTCTAAATTTCCCATCCTGAACAACCAACTCTTTTGCTTTGGAAAGATATTTCATTGATATTAGAGCAAATTGAATCATACAGAATCATTGTGACTAATTTTGTAAATGCTGCATTTTAAATACTTAATTTTTTAAAAAAATGTGGCATTTTTATAAAATCTGAATAGAAGAACTAGTAAACTGGCATTTTACTACGAAGCATGAGAAAAAATACTTTCCCTTTTCTTGATTGTGTTTTTAAATGTCTAATAAAACAACATGGAAAAACTGTTGATCTAAATCTGTTTTTCTTATATAGAACAGTGCAAAACAGCTTAATATATTTGCAATGGTCCAGAACCTGTGATTTGAGCCTCAGGTCGTTTAGCATTCAGCCAGAGGGATTTAATCTGGAGGACTCTTAATAGGGCTCATATCAAATAACTGCGATCTAGGTATTAGCATAATTTGACAGGATAATCTCTTTAAGATCAGGGAATTCTTGCTACACATCGATTTGGGGTGGGCAAACAGTCAACAGGTTGAGGCTTCCACACACAGAGAGGAGCAAAAGCCCAACCTATTACATGTTTGAAATAATTAAAAAAAAAGAAAGAAAGAAGGGAAGGGAAGGGATGCCCTCCCACCCCCCTCACCCCCAGTTGGCCGACCTCCATCTCGTTCATAAGAGAAAAGGGTCGAACTTCGCTGACGCCCAAGGACGCAGCAGATCAAAGCCCGAAAAGGGGAGGCGAGGGACCCGCCGCGCTTACATCCAGGAAGATGGAGAGCCCCTTGGTCAGGGTCAGGGCAGAGCGGAGCTCCTCGGGGGAAGAGGTGGCAGGAGCTGCGTCCGGGCTCTCAGCGCCATCCATGCTTCGCTCTGCACCTTCCTTTGCGACTATGCGGGGATGAGAAGAGGAAGGGCGGCAGCTGCTGGCGGCTGTTCCTCCGTTGCCGGTGAACCCCCCCCCCTCCGCTCCGGCCCTTTCCCGCCTCTCAGCCGAGTCCCGATTCGCAAGGCGACCACGACGAGCCGCGGCGTCCGAACGAGGGAGGGAGCGCGCGCTCAGCCCTTGGTTGCCGCCACCCGTGGCGCCGCCCTCACCTGCCCTTTCTGCTCTGCTCGCCGCCAAGCGCAGCCTTGAATGAACGCTGCTTCCCTTCCGTTTGCAGCTGGGCGAAACCGACGTTGGAGCATGTGCAGAATGCCATACAGTAGTTTTATCCTTGGGCATCCATCAGCTGAACCCTTGCTTGTACAGATTTGAACCTCAGCACGAAAAAGAAAATAAATGAAAAGAATAAATGAAACATCACTATAAGGCAGAAGTAATTATAACTATTGGTTGCCAATATATACTAAATGGTTAATTTCACAAGTATATAAAGTTCCTTGCTAACTCAGATGGAATAGTCCTCTAGCACAGCCAGAAATTTCTAGACGGTCTAGAAGGAGGCCATGGGCTTTCGAAGACTCTCTGCTTTTAAACATGGAAGTTGAGGTGCTCTCCATCAATCTTAGAATCCAACGTAATAGGAATTTCTTCTAAAATTTGCACTCTGAAGAATGTCAGATGGAAACGTTTGTTTCATATAAATAAAAGACTGAAAGAAATCGCCAATACTGTTTTTGTATTGCACTCTTTGTTCAACAAACTGCAATGAGGTAACCTCTCAAAACATATTAACTACAAATTGTGTTTTACAAAGAATACTGGCTTGGTTCACAGAATACACAAAGCAGCAATCAAGCAACCCATGTGTTGATTTCACATTCTATGCAAACTGAGTCAATATAGTTACTTTATGCCTCAGTGTATGTCATGCAAAGTATGAAAACTGAATTTATTAAGCCAACCTGGTTATGTGAATCGTGGTAAGGAGATTGTGGGCAAGTTGATGGCATACTTGGAAATCTTCAAGAAGATTTTTGGGAATCTTTTAAAATAATGCTTCTTGTCAAAGTGTGCACTCACAGCCGATTTGAAATATATTTGCAATGCTAATATTTGTCCAAATTGTAAGAATTCAAGTTCTTTTTTTCTTGTCTATTTTCATCTGTGGATGAAGAATAACAATGAAAGAAAACTTCCATGCATGGAAATCACACAGAGAAAAAATTAATTCTATTTACTGTTGCATCTGCACTGTTTTTACTTTCAAATAAGTGATCCAGGGAATTCAAATAATAGTCTCTGACAATAGCACATTTTTCTCATTTCCCTCAGCAAGTTCTGATATTTATTCCTTCAAACCAACACTCACTTGGAGGAGTGGTTTGAGAAATTTGAATGCTTAGTTGATAATTATTTATTCTGCAGCTCTTGGGATGCTCTTTATTAGCATATTGCTGCATCGTAATATTCTTTTCAGAGAATAAAACAAGGTTCTTTAACAGAATAACAGAGTTGGAAGGGACCTTGAAGGTCTTCTAATCCAACTTCTGCTCAAGCAGGAGACCCTATATGCCATTCCAGATAAATGGCTTTCCAGTCTCTTCTTAAAAACCTCCAGTAATGGACCACTCACAAGTGCTGAAGGCAAGTCATTCCACTGGTTAACTAAGGAAATTTCTCCTTAGTTCTAGGTTGCTTCTCTCCTTGATTAGTTTCCAACTATTTTTCTTGTCCTGCCTTCTGGTGCTTCAGAAAATAGCTCTATATCCTCTCCTTTGTGGCAATCCCTCAAAATATTGGAACACTGCTATCGTGTCACCCCTACTACTTTTTTTCACTAGACTAGCTATACCCAATTCCTGCAACCATTCTTTTTTATAACGGATGCAGTATTCCACATATGATCTTACTTTTTTTTTTAGCTCTGACTTTTTGCTGAATGTAATTTATTATTAGTAATGTATAGATACTATCCTTCCTCGCAGCCCTTTCAATTTCCAACTCTGCTCTGAAAGGCTGCCAATTTTGTAGGAGGGAAATCTTACTATAGGAGGGAAAATCTACAGATAAAAAGGGGCATTGTCTTACTTGAACGCCTTTTCTCAGCATGATGATGGAGAATCCACGGATGGGTTGTTTTAATCTATCTGCTCCAATTAGACTAAGTCTGAATCTTAGTACAGCGCCCACTGTGCCAATTGCACCCCAGTTTTAGGCTAAGGCGATACTCAGACTTTAGTCCGACGCGTCTGATCAATATCGGAACCAGGCCAACTGACCTTATGGGAGGGAGTGGATTCTCCATCATCATGCTGAGAAAAGGCATTCAGGTAAGACAACGCCCCTTTCTCCAGCATGATTGGATGGAGAACCCACGGATGGGACATACCAAAGCCCTGGGTCCCTAAGGGTGGGAATTAGTTTGGGCCTGGGTCCCGTCCGATGTTAATGAGTGTTCTAGGACCTTGCGGCCAAATGAAGCCGTAGAAGAGGCATATTTGTCCATCTTGTAGTGACGGACAAAGGAAGAGGGTGAGGCCCATGTTGCTGCTCTACAAATCTCCTCTATGGAGGCCTGGGTAGCCCAAGCAGCTGTAGTAGCCGCGTCTTGGGTGGAATGGGCCGTGATATGTCTAGCAGCTTGCAGTGACTGTGTCTGGTATGCCAGAGAAATACAAGCTCTAATCTATCTGCCTATTGTGGATGAAGAAACCTTCTGTCCTAGTGACGAAGGGGGAAAGGACACAAATAGAGCTCAGTTTTGCGGAAAAATGAAGTTCTCTGTATATAACAATGTAAGGCCCTCCGCACATCCAACTTGTTCCACTGTACTTCTATGTCATTAGATGGGTTAGGACAGAAGTCCAGCAAAACTATTTCCTGTGACCTATGATACAAGGAATTAACCTTGGGCATGAAGGACGGGTCTAGCCTAAGGGTTACCCTGTCATTATGGAAAGTACACAGGTCCTTTCTCCCTGAAAGAGCAGCCAGCTCAGAAACTCTTCTGGCTGAAGTTACAGCAACAAGAAATGCCACTTTCATCGATAATTGTTTAAACAAACAAGTGTCAACAGGCTCAAAAGGTGAAGAAACAAGAGCCTGTAAAACCTGATGAAGATCCCACAAGGGGTATCTGTGTACAGTTGGTGGTCTGGTGTTGTTAGCTCCCTTTAGGAAGGAGCGTATCACGGGGTGATGTATCAAAGAGTCATTGCCACAAGTAATTACTGTGGCAAGTGCTGCTAGCTGTCTACGGATGGTGCTTGTGGAGAGCCCTTTGTCCAGGCCATCCATCAGGAACTCCAAGATAATTGGCACTGAAATGGCCAAGAGGTCAATTCTGTGATCTGAACACCACTTACAGAAGCTCTTCCACATGGCATCATATATTCTATTCGTCGAGGGTCGCCTGGATTGCTGAATCATGCCTATGACCCTTGACGAATATGAGTCTCGGCCTAAGGCCTGCCTCTCAAGTGCCAGACGGTTAACTGGAGCCACTGAGGGTCCGGATGGTGTAGTTCCCCTTGAATGAGGGAGATGCGACTTGCTGGGATCCTCCAAGGAGGGGAGGCGGAGAGCTCCATCAGGTCGGCGAACCATGAACGTCTCGGCCAGTGCGGTGCAACCAGGAGGACCTCTGCCCGTTCGTGAAGAATCTTCCGGATCGTGGCAGGAAGAAGCGGTAAGGGAGGGAAGGCATAAAGCAGTTCCCTGGGCCAAGGACTGCGGAGCGCATCCGTCCCCTCTGCTGATGGAGACGGAAATCTGGAAAGGAATCTGGGAAGTTGTGAATTGGTTGGGGAGGCAAAAAGGTCTAAGGTTGGGGAACAAAACCTGTCCACGATCTCTCTGAACACCTTCGGGTCCAGTTGCCATTCGGCATGGTCCACAGTGGCTCTGCTCAGTGAGTCCGCCTGTTGATTGGTCACTCCAGATATGTGCTCCACCCTGATGGAAGCAAGATTCAATTCTGCCCAATACCCCACCAATTTGGCCTCCTGCATGAGAGGCCTGGATCTTGTTCCCCCTTGTCTGTTGACATGGGCCTTGGCTGTAATGTTGTCGGTTAGAACCAGGACATGTTGGCCCTGTACTATGCTGCTGAATCTCTTTAGGGCCATATGTATGGCTCTGAGCTCCAGCCAGATTATATTGTTCTTTAGATCTGATTGGACCACTGACCTTGAGCCCAGTGTGTCTGGAGGTGTGCCCCCCACCCAAACAGGCTTGCGTCTGTGGTGATGGTAATCCTGTCTGGTTCTTTGAATTCTGCTCCCTGTGACAGTGCCGGAGAGTCCCACCAACGAAGGGAGTTCAACACCGACCGGGGAACTCGGACCTTCTGGTGATGTGCTGGTGTGAAGTCTCTGAAATGGAAGAAGAAGCCACTGTAATTCTCTGGCATGGAGACGTGCCCATGGCACAATTTGCACACAGGACACCATCTTTCCCAGTAGCTGTAACAACAAGGCCAATGTTACTACTCTGTCCTTTCGGATCCAACGTACAAGGGTCTGAATAGAGTTCCGTCGGTCCTGTGATAGGTAGACCATACAATTGTTTGTGTCTATAATAGCGCCCAGATGGAGGAGTCGAGTTGTTGGTACAGTATGGCTTTTCTGGAAGTTAACAGAAAACCCGTGCTCCTGAAGGGTCTTGATGGCTAGGGCGAGATCTGATTGAGCATTCTGGAATGATGATGACTGTATCAATATGTCATCTAGATAGCATTGAATTCTAATTGGAATCTGTCTAAGGTGGGCTGCTAGCACTGCCAGTACTTTTGTGAATTCTCTCGGTGCTGATGAAAGGCCAAATGGTAAGGCTCTGTACTGGTAGTGGCGTTGGGCATAGCTGAATCTGAGGAATTTGCGGTGGTCAGGAAAAATAGGAATGTGCAAATATGCCTCAGTCAGGTCTATTGACGTAAGGAAGTCTCCTTGTCTGATGCTAGCCAGGATTGATTGCAGTGACTGCATCTTAAACTTCCTATAATCAGGTGAAGGTTTAGACCTTTTAAGTCTAAGATTGCCCTCCAGCCCCCCGAAGCCTTAGGGATGACAAAGAGGTTTGAGTAGA